TGAAGTCTTTTTCCCAAACTTTCCCCCAGCATCGGCGACCGGCATCTTCAGAGGGCAGGAGCACAGACAGGAGCAGTTCTGTCTGTGCCCAGGATGATGTGCTCCTGCCCTCTGAAGATGCCGGTCAAACGCAGGAAACAAAACTTCCAGAACACGGCCACGCAGCCCGGAAGACCCACACCAGCTACTCAGGATTACTGTTAAAGAAATACACAAGAATCAAACCTTGAAAATATCCAGAGTGATCTCTAGTTGCTCTTATGGTTCCCTCAGAATGGAGAAAAAAGATTTATTTTTCTCCATTCTGAGAAGAATGAGTAAAGTTAAAAGTCCTGGGCATGACCAACTAAAGTAACTTGTAATGACTGTTTTGTTTTAGACAGGTAGATAAAATGAGCTACGTAACTAATACCACAAATCGGTGTTTTGTTATTCAGCAAAACACAGATTTAGTGAAGAAACTTGCCAATTCAGGACATGAGATACTCCACCCCTTGTCTGGAACTAGGGACAAATATTTCCTCCTCAATGACATGGCAACAATTTGTCATAACTAAATCCTGGAAACCTCAATATGGTAAAAAAAAAAAAAAAAAGGTGTCTCCATAAGTGAAATGCAAATATGAATTAAGAGAGGGCACAAGGGAGGGGCTTAGAATGCAATAACCATCTTGCATAGGATGACCCCAATGCTGTAGTTAAGAGGCTAGAAAAAATGTAGCAGCAGATCAAGCTAATTATAAATTCTGCATAATTTCAGATATGAAAATGTTATTTTGCTCAAGTTGTGTTAGAAACAATAAGCATTTGATTACCTGTTTCTGAGCATATGCCTTCACTTTGGATTTCACTACTTCCAAGTAAATCACCAATCAGTTCTGGCTGTATATGAAGCTGGTCTGAACTATATAGGGAATCCAAGTCATCATCTGGCCTAACAAACATAATTATTGTGGTAAACTATGCACAATATAAGACAATGCTAGAATCACCAGAATGTTTTAGGATAATAAAAGACAGTACTTCACAGGAAATTACTGAACTGAATTATTAAATGACCTTCTAGGTTATGTATTATAAAAGGATATGTTTCAAGGATTAAAGAGGTTTCTTACCAAGCCAAGTTTTTCAAAGTTTTTGAGGAGTCCAAAAATGTTCTGTTATGCTTTCTTCTATAGTACAGAAGTTTTGATTGTGAGGAATTTATCAGTATAGATGCAACTGTATCATCAAGTGAGCTGTTTCCTATGAGGAAACTTTACTTTACTGAATTATAGTTAGAGACCATCATGCATTAGTTACAGAAGAGTATCACTGAATTAATTATGGAATGTTTTGAACTGTATTACAGCAAACAAAGATAAAATGCCCAGCTATTAAATGAAGATGCACACCCCAAGTATGCATACTGCCAATTCTTTGATTTAAAGGGAATTTTCCACCCTTCCTTAATCTTCCAGAGTAGATCAGAGAGGCACAGTGTTGGGATGGAGAATCCATTTTACTAAAAATGCCACTCCATCCATGGGATATCTCTGTTGGTTAAAAGCCTGTTCCTTACCTCATTCTTTGCCCTGTAGCCAACTAAAATGTCTCCCCCCGCAACACATCATTCCAATTTCTTTGGAAGGTGAAACCCTTCCTAAATAAAGTAGTAAAATAAGGTTTGGAAAGATGTCTTTGTCTCATGGTGGCTAATTCTATCCTCTCCAAATTTGTGATGATGCTTGTGTATTTTCTAAAAAGCAGCTGATTGCTTTATACAATTGCTCAGTATCATTAAGCATTTTTGGGGGGCTGATCTTTGGCTGCAATAATAAAATTTGATTTACATACTTTCACTAAACAGAATCTGTTTTTATGAAATTGTGATATGCAAAGTCCTCTTGAACCTATCCTGTTTTCTTGGCAACACCATGGAAATGGTTGGCCATTGTCATATTTGATATCTGACATATTTATTTACTTCCCAATCTAGTCTTCAGCTCTGGAATTTCCTCATTGTTTCCCTTCCAAGTTCTAATCAGCCTGAGCTTAGCTTAGCTTTTTTGAGATCAACTAAGTTTGAGGAGGTGCTGCCACTTGGCATGACAAAACTGGTATAATACATCATTTTTAGGTCAGTACAAGTCCTACTGATTATTTGACTCTTCTGAAGTTTTCACATAGTATCAGTGTTATTAAAAAATGTCAGAATATTAGTTGTTACTACCTGATATTTTGCAATTTTAAGGTATGGAGGGGAGCAGCTAGTTTATACCTATATTTAAAAATATAAATGCTTGGTGTTGTGTAATTATTAAATGATCAATAAACCAGCCTTGGAGTCTAACTGTTATGAGCAATATATAGCCTGCAGAAATATGCTATATAGGATACCCACTTTCAAGCCCACATTTCAACACTGGTATCACTGATCAATGAGATTATTTCTGGTTGCTAAATTGGTGGTAACCCTATTGAACACTTTTAGAGGGCAGAGATCAAATATGCCATCACTCAGTTTTTTTTTACCTTTAGAGAAAATGTACCAGTAGGACTTAAAAATGACATCCTCTTTGTAAGACCATACAAAAACACTCTACAAAAACCAGTAATATTCTCTGGGCCAGATTCTATTTTTACATTAATATTTCATTATGTATCTGCACAGAGGGCAGCTATAGTATCATCTTGGTCAAGGCCCTGATCTAGAATCACTTCTCGTGACATCTCAATTACTCTATTCATACTCCGGCATGCGAACCCAAGACCTGTTTGTGTGTTTAAACTTGTACACAGTCTTCATTCATAAGTTCAGAGAACCAGTTTTCATAAATTTGGAATGAGAGAGCAGAATCATTGACCAAGAAGAATCTCAGGAAGGCATTGATAGTAGGAACTTAATCAGTTTATGATTCAGTATATTGGATGAAGTTAAGTAACTGGGTTAATTCAGTGGAATGTGCTCAGTAAATTGTCACTGTGTTGTGCAGACAAAGCTGCTATTAAGAAAGTACCATCCTTACCCATTGTTTTTGATGGAGAGACAGAAGTAAATTTTAATAAACTCTCTCTACTGTACCTATTTTTGTTAACAAATTAAACACGTCTTTTTAATCGTCTTACCTGTAGCTATCAGGGCCCTTCTACTTTTACTTTTGGCTTGTGTTACATCCAAAAAATAATCCTGAAAGAGGAAGTATATGCCAGAATTAGGAGCATCATCTACATGGTTGCTTCTTACATACACACAGATTTTTATTGTTCGTTTGCTCTCACTCTTATCGTTCGTTTGAACTCACTCTTAAGACTCTCCCACCAAAACCCTTTTCAAACAATGTTCCTAAATCGGACTGAGAACCAGTTAATAGGGCCACTGAGTGGGGGGAGATTTGATGCCCATCACTGACAGTCCAAGCCAGGGAATAAGGAGCACACACCCGCTAGGAAGGACCCTTCTCCGAGCAAAATCTGGATCTTGCTTTGAAGCTGACCTGTCTTATGCGATGCAAGAACCCACAACAAAACCGCGCGTCTCTGAACACCTGCACGTTACCTTCCCAACCCCAAGTGCAATGGCCACAGGCAAACCAAGCCCACCCTTGCATTTCAGGGCAGCGGCAAAACCGGCACTTCGGAATTAAATACGCAACGCCTCTACCAAACTCCACTCCGCGCCCGGAGCTCGTGGGGATGGAGCTACACGTATTCAGACTAGCTCCCGAGCCCCCCGCGCGCTGACCCCACCTCTCCACTCAGATAGCGCCTCCTCCAACGCTCAACCGAGCTGCTCAGCTCTGGGGAAGCCTCCATGGAAGAAAAACCAGGCAGGCAAGTCTCCCCGCCGGCCTCCCGCCTTTCACAACAACCGCCAAAGAGGCGGGCGGAGGTAGAAGGGAAGAGAGAGGCGGACGAACTAAAAGGCGCTTGCGCAAGGTGGCTCTGCTCCGCCCCCGCCATCCCGGGCCCCGCCTTGTTTCCAGGGCAACCGGGTACGCCGCGTGCTGATGGCGGGCGTTCTGTTAGCTGCCGCGCGACTCAAGGGGCGGACGGGGGGCTCCGGGGAGCCGGG